CAAAGTGCTGAGAACTGTGCTTTGCTTGTAGTAGGTGGCGTGTGTATTGTGATTATTGTTACCGCTTTTGTTATGGTGTCTTTTCTGCCATATTAGCATGTTTCATTTTTCAGCCCTTGGTATGAAGTGAAGGAAACTATTACAACCAAACTCTTAAATCCGGGATCAAAGCCTTAACCATACATTCAAGATATTGTACTGTAAAACCCAAGTTTATACTTTTCTCTGTCATTTTCTTGAGAGAATTTAATTAATTAATCTTCCACTTTTCCAGGAGGGTCCCTCACCTGAGTTACCAAATTAGTTTTAAGTTCTCCCAGGTGGCAAATTAGCCTCCAGCTCAAGTGTTAAGTGGATAATAGTGTCTCTCACTGACGCCCTTTGAGATTATTTTAGAGTTAAGTAATTCTTTCTTACAAGAATGGACATGCTTTTGTTCAGAAGAATAAGAGAGTATATTTTTCACTGATATAAATACTGTAATTTGCATTGAACACAACAAAAAGGCAGAATATACTTTTTTAAAAGTATATTATGTATATAAAATTCTGTAACAGAAGTTAGATGACATTATGTATATAAAATTCTGTAACAGAAGTTAAATTACATATGTTATTTAAAATGTTACCTTGGTATTAAAAATTGACATTTCAAAAGACATATGGTATCACAGTTTATTTTTTTTAATAAACTCACATTAAGTTCATTTTTCCATTTTTTTTTTAGGTTTTTATGATAAGGCACATGTGTTCACTGGAGAGAGACAGTAAAAGAGAAAGTACGAAATCATCCTCCCGGGGGATAGACACACTATAATCTTTTCTCCATTCTCCTCCCTTTGGGCATGCATGCATAAGCGCCTGGAGTGATTTCCAAGCCGCCAAGTCCAGCACATGACTGCACTCGGCCATGTAAGAGTCCAGCATCTTAAACACTATGCCATCTGCTGGTCCCTCATGGTTATGGTTTTAAAGGGACTTACCACTTTTTTAGATCCAAACTATAATGTTTACACTTGAAATTACATGATGACATATTTACTGCAAAATAATACAGGAGAGCCACATGGGTCAGAGTGCAGAAAAAAAAAAAAAAAAAAAAACAAGAGTCACCATAAGTTGACAAATGTTTAAGTTATGATATGTAAGGATTCATATGCTACCAGTCTACCAAATTCCACATATGTTTATAATTATCCCTAAGAAAAAGATTTTTTTGAGAGATTTTTGCTATAGGACACATGCGCCTGCTGGAGAGACAGACAGGCAGAAAGTGAGGAATCACCCCCCGCCAGGAGGGATGGGCACACTGCAACTTCTTCTACTCCAGTCTCCTCATGGGATTTTGGACATACATGCACACGTGCATGGTGTGAGCTTTAAGCCACTGGGTCCAGGATTCTAACTGTGGTCGACTATGTGGGAGCCCAGCGATGCAACCATTACGCAGTCTGCTGGTCCCATAATAAAACGTTTTTAAAAATTGAGGACGGGGGAAACAGCCCTCTGTGAAGCTGACCAGCAGTATGCATCTGGGGACCTTACTCTGGATACACACTTGTCATGATTCAGGGGTGTCTAGAGGTAGCTAATGCATCAAGACTGTCTTAGTTGTGCTGTCTTTCTCTTGCTCCCTCACTCATGGAAGAAATATATATATAAGCTTAAAAAAATGAAAAGCTCAAAATCAATCCGATTTAAAATAACATATTGGGTAAATACTAAATGAATTGATACCATCAGGTCCCAAGATGCTAAAAAGAGGCAAATGACACTAATTAATTGCTGCATTTTAAAGCATTGTGAAGGCAAGATTCATGGTTTAATCTATTTTATATAATGGGCTTTTTATATTACCTGTTACATTATAGGAGCTCAATATTTTTTTATAAAAAAATTGATGATTTTGGCTCTTACTACAGTGAAAAAATTGCAGTGTATCATTTCTAGCAAACACCATATATTCATGTAAACTATATTTTTTTAGAACCTTATTATTGACTAGTACCCACCAATCAATTTTAATATAAATCAGGGCATGTCACTCCTAGTCTTAAAACTAGTCAGTGATTCATAGTGTACTTGGGATACAATCCAGACTTTCTTATCATTGCCAACAGGGCCTGTCTTCACACACTCTTAACTTCATCCCATACTGTTCTGTCTCTCACTTAGTATGGTTATAGCCTGTCTTGTTTATTTTCTTGTTTATTATCAGTTTTCTCTAGTAGAAGCCCTGGATTTCTCCTCTCTGCTCCCCAGTAAACAGCCTCTTAAGGTGGTCCAAGAATCCATCACAATGCCTAACCACTCAAAACCATATTTCACTGAAATTTTAGACATGGATACAGTATTATGTACCACCAAGAGAGTAAAAACACTGCAAATTAAACTATGGCACAATGCTGACTATAGATTATAAAACAATCTTGACTTTTGAGATAGTAAAATGTAAGGC